GGCAACCGGTCCAGGGGCTCTGGAATGGGTCCCCAGAAGAAATGGCACCTGACACCCTTCAGTGATTGTCTGCTGCTCTCTGGATAAAGTCCAGACTCCCCATATGGCACCTAATGGCCTTTATGACCTGTCCCCCTGCCTCCTCCTCACCTCAACCTTCCAGCCAAGCGGAATTACTCTCTCAAATCCAGGTCCCTCGGGCATGATTTTCCCTTCACCGACCTCTCCTGTCTCCCAGCCACACCTCAGCTTCAGTCCCTGTGAGTCACCCAGTAGGACGAAGTCAGCCTGGAATGTCACAGCAGCCCAGCACACGGCCCCACAAGCCTCTCACACTGTAGCCCCTCAACGCGTATTTGTTAAATGAATCAAAATGGAGCATTGTTGTTCTCCTGAATTATTGAAATACAGAGGGATTTATAAATAAGTTAAATCTTAAAATCTTTATGGGCAAAGCCTGAGTAGCTAAAAACTGTCTTTACTTAAGAAAACTACCTCTTCTCTCAACGTGCAAAGGCATTATTATTATTATTATTCATTATTCCAGCTTCCCTTTCTGTCCTGGTCTATTCTTCCTAAGCTTTCTCGCAGGGACTATAAAGTCCTCTCTGAATTTATTTCTGAAAGGCAGGCTTATTTACAGGTATGCCTCGGTTTCAGAAACCTGCCGCAGGAAACCGTGGCAGGAAAGAAAAGACTGATACGTGTGCAACACTCTTCATAATGCATCAGGAGTTTGAGCGCTCCTTTCAGTAGTAGCAACTCCCTTCTACACGTCAGTGTCTCTGCAGAACACATGTCTTTGCCAGAGAGGGGAAATCAGTGATTCTTAATGCTAAAGCAAGGCTATATTCATCCACCGAAGAAAAAAACAACAACAACAAGTATTGAGCATCGATTTTGGTGCCCAACATACCAGCTGGGTATTTCTTATCCATCCCTTCCTTCCCCCATAACCTCCCATCCCATAATCCAGATAATAAAACCGGCTCGCAGGAGGGTAAAATGATTTTCCCAGATGTAGCAAAGCCAGAATCGAACTCCAGTCCATCCCACTCCAAACCCATGCTCTTTCTATTATGCCAAGTGTCTTGACTCAGAAATAAAAAATAAAAGGGAAAAAAATTAATGACACAACACAAAGCTCCACTTGTTATCAGTTTGATTCAGACCCTACTGGCTAAAGACCCATTTACTATGTCAAGCAAGCAACGTGGGCACTGACGACATTTCCCTTATCTCCCTGACGCCAGGACAGAGAAGGCTTGCAAGAGAAAGCCAGCCCCTGTGGAACACACACAGGCTCCCAGCACAAGATCGATCGTCCAAGGAGGCCACTGGCTGGCGCCTGCGTGGGAGGCCCTCACTCCGGGAGCCCAGAAGAGCAGACATCACAAAACAGGACGCAGACACGGAAGCACGTGGAGTCTGAACAGCCACAACCATACAAGCTCCCACTCCACATCTGGTGTCTTGGCAAGAGCAATTGGCATCATCCCAAAGAAATTACAAGGCTCCCAGGCATTCCTGATCTGGGGCATAATCCTCCAAACCCTATCATCAAAAGGACCGCAGTCAGGCCCTGCGCCCTTTCACTGTCCTAAATGAAGCTTCACTTTGAGTCACCATCCCCCCCAATACGTCCTTCTCTTTTCTAATTATAGCAATGCCCACTGGAACAGCATCTCCTCTACTGTTGACCTTGCCACATCCTGCCCGTTCTTTAGAGCTCAGCTGAAGGGCAACTTTCTCCTCCCCAAAGCAGTCTGTGATTGTGCTTGTGCTTACAAGGGTCTCTGACGATAAACACTGTCTACTTAGCATCTGCGGGCACGTCCATCAGATGCACTGAGGACGAGTGCATTTGACTTTAGTGCTGCAGCCTGGCGTGGTGCTAGTGTTGTTCACTCTCCTGCAAATGAATTCAATAAAGTACTCACCTAACTATCCCAGGCACTCAAGATACAGAAATGATTAAATCTCAGACTTGCCTTTGATGACTCAAGTCTAGTAAGGCATGGATAAAATAAAATTCTACAAGTCAATTTGTCAAAATTCAGCATTACAGTATGATCCAAGCATTACTATCACATTGCCCTGTTTAATATCACCTTCATATCATTGAGCTCACTCTGTAGCTGTTATGTCTGTTTATTTACTGTCAATCCGTTCCCACTAGGAGACAGTAGGATGGCAACATTGTGTGGTTCACCACTGTCCCCGGGACTCGGCACGGACCTGAGCACAGAGACACATTCAGTAAAAGCCCTATTTGTGGCAGGAAGTAAGGAGAGAGGCAGGGAAGTGTCAGAACTGTAAGCACCAAGCCCAACTTCGAGCCCAACTTCCACGACAGGGAGACAAAGCTCAGATCTGAAGTGACAGTGGAGGCCACACAGCGAAGGGGTGAGGCACAATCCAGAATGAAACACAGGATGAGCAAAGGTAAGAATGGCAACCCAGCATGATAGGAGAGTGGGGACAAAGCCCTTACGTATTGCTGTGGACCAGCTGTTCTTAAGTGTGGGAGATTTCGCCTGCAGAGGGCGTTTGCCAATGCCGGGAGATAATTTTGCTTGTTGAGACCTGGGGGCAGAGGATGCTGCTGGCATCTAACTAGGCACAGAGTCCAGGGATGCCACCAAGCATCCTGCAATGTCAGAGCAGCCCCCCACAATAGTCACCTGATCTAAAACATTAGCAGTGCTGCAGATAGCATACGCAAGGGATGTCAGAAAACATAAGCTTTCTTCTAAAGTTCACAATCTCTATCTACACCCAATACCTTCTTGTGATTACAATTTGGACCAAAGTAGCATTCACTTGCCACCTCCTATAGCCTCGGAGAAAGGAAGTATTCAGCAAGGACTGTCCAGAACCTAAGAACGCAGCATCAGTTTCCTTCATCTGCTGTATAGCCACCAGGACTCATCCTCTTCTCTCTAAATTCTAGGACTTCAAACCACTCAACCCCATATGCAAGGTAATGAGATATGGAAAGATGAGAAAACGAGAGGTACTCACTGGATAGATGGTCAGATGGACAGAGGGATGGACAGAGATTGGTCAGAATGGCAAAAAGACTGAGTCCTTAGGACACCAAGGTTATGCACCCATGCCTTGCATACTTTCCACAAAGGCAGAGTTGGCTTGAAGGCCAGCACTCCTGACCCACGCCCTGTCCCAAAGGCTGCAGTGGAGGATGCTTAGAAGGGGTCACCTCCCCAGGACTCTGGAGCCCTAGCAGGGAATTAAGCAGCCAGACGTGATGGACTGATAGGAGCTGGGAAGTCACAGTGAAGACAATGCTCCTTTGTCTGGAAGTGGCAACACACTGCTGGGCCGAGCCTGCCCTCCACAGTGACATCCCTGAGAGCTCCAAGACTTGCCGGGGCCTGACCCTGGGTTCACTTTCCCACACTGCCTCACAATTGCTTCTCTTTAGCCAAGTCTCTAAAACATGTTTGCTTAATTCTGCCCCTGGCAAACAATTCTGTATTTTCAATATTATATGAAATGCCTGAATTTTGAGTCTAAAGCAAAAAAAGATAACCATTTTTTTTTCTGTTGTAAGAGACCCAATAGTGTTCTATTTCTAAAGAGTAGATCCAAGGGCTATCTCCTATTACATCTCAAATTCCACTGCAACAGAAAGCTTGCCAGATTTCCTCATCTTGGAAGTGGGCACAATCCTACCCACCTTACATTCTTGTTGCTAATCCTAAGAAGGGCTTAAATTAAAAAAAAAAAAAAAATCTAGCAATGGATGCTGTGAATGAAAATTTGATTTACATCTAGTTTTTCATGGAAGTGTCTGGTAGGTAGAACAACAAAAGCCAAGAACAGCACCCACACAGGGCAGCCAGACAAACGTGGGCATTCTATCTAATACACTGTCTCTGTACAGAGCTGGGAAAAGGGACAGGTTACCCTAACCAAATAAAAATGGAAATTGAAGCAAATCTTTGACAATTCTAAGCAAGATCCGCAACTATCGAAATGGGAAAATGTCAGTACAAGCAGTACCCGGTTTGGAAGCGAATTGTCTTCCCAAAGTTCATTTGTAAGCAGGATGTTCAGAACTTGGAATGCAAGCTGTATTTTATGTCCCAAGCCAGTGCACAAAAGCTGATTGAATTTATAATGTATTGCTAAATGACATTAATACTTAGAGGAAAAATAGTTTAAAAAAATGAAAAGAAAAAATGCTTTGATATTTTTAAAACATATCAAAGTATTTAGAAAACAAATACACAGCTCCTATTAGCCTTGACCTAAATAAACCCCAAACCATGAGCTGGGCCCGGGATCTCCTGTGATCCAAGTCATTACTGAAATGGGGTCCTAAGAAACTGAAAGGGGATGAGAAGAACCCCAGCCACAAAGGGAAAGGGACTGTCATGGGGAAAAAAGTCTAGCATCTCTCATCTGGACAGGAGGAGCTGGTACTGACCCACACCAAACTCTAGAATGGAAGGGCTGTCAACTCCAGAAGGACACAGGTAGGTGACAGAGCAGTGGCCACCCTGGCCTGCTACCGAAGCACGCTAAATGAGCTGGAGCCAGCCCCCTGCCACAGCAGCACTGGGGGGAGGAGGGGACAGGAATTCCCAGCATGCTCTGCGGCAGTGTGGATGGCCAGGGTCACTCAGGTGCTGGAAGGAAGGTGTTCCAGCAGTTGGCATGAGGGGCGGCATTTGATTCTAACAGATTTGGCCAGGTCAAGAAGGGACTTCCCGGGTCTTTAGAAAAGCAAAAAATCATACTAACCGGTAAGATACCAGAAATCTGCTTATGTAACCTTAAGAACAAGGGACAAGAAGATAAAGACCGGGGGAATGGCTTCTCCAACACGACACAGCCACACCCCTGCGGCAGCAAAGGCGCGTCATACCGGATCGCTGCCGGACACCATGCCTGGGTGCACCCCAAACACTAAAGGGATGCAAAACATCGAAACCAGGTTCGAAAGTTGAGGTTTCCCATTCATCTGCTTATACCTTCTTTAATCCTCCAAATAAACCGTCGGTCTCCAGCTCAAACTCTCGGTCCAGTTCCTCTTCATGTTCTGACAAGAAAAAAAGGCTCTGTTAGTCCCAAATCCAAACAAATCCGGGTTGGCCGAATAGCAGGAGCATGGAAAGAACTGGACTATGTCCTGGAAAAGCAGCCAGTGGACTGGGCTGCAGGCGTGGACACATGCCACACGCCCTGACCTTTCCTTCCAGCGCTCCGTGACCCGAGTTCCTGGAAATGTGCAGCGGGGCTGATGGAAACTCGGCTTGTAATAAGGGTCACAAAAGGAGAGGGACACGAGGGAGAAGAGCTCCCAGTACGAGCAAACACGGGAGGGACCAGTGCAAATGCCCCACTTGTAGAGGCTGCTAGAAATTTGTACACAGGCCATGCCACGAAATTACGGTGATCATGTCTGCATTATATGACATAATGCTAACAAGATATAATTAGATGGAATCATAATGGCAATAAGTGTGTTTATACATATACACATAAAGTGTTTATACAATACAGCTGATTTACAACAAAAGATATAATAAAAATCTTCAAACACTTCTTGAGGATGTACAATAACCAGGCATGGTGCAAGGTACTAGGTATGACACACAACAGGACTGGCGTGGCTTTCGTCCCCCTGGGGCTTGCTGTACACTGGGGAAGAGAGACAAATAAGAAGTAAGAAGCCACAGCAGCGCTGATGAATTCCACCATGCAGGAAGGAAGAAGGGCCATGGGGCCTGACTCTGAGCTCTGTGTGCTGTCTAGTAGGCAGCTGGACAGGGGTGGGTACAACTCAAAAATGCCCTTAGTCGAAGATGAAGACTTAGAGGCGCTCAGTATAAAGGTAGTGACAAAGGTGCCCGAATGGCTGAGATTCCCACAGAAAGTGACAAAGAGCACGTAACACAAGAAAAGGGGGGAAACAATGATGCTTTTTCCATCAACAAAAGTACAAAAACTATGGGAAATCAAAGAGGAACTTCCCAGAAGGAAAGCCAGGAGAGGGTGGTTTATCACGAGAACACAATCACGAAACGATGCCGTCTTCAGCGCAGGATCAAGGTGCAGGTTCACACGCGCTACGTGCAAACAGCTGCCCCAGCCCCAAACCTCAGGCAACGCTGCACTTAGGAACGACGGGAAAGGGAGAGGCGTCGCACACCGGCCCAGGTACAGACGACAGCACCACTCCGGGCGCCCCATCCACACGGCATGTCCCGTGCTCTCGGAGTGCCGTAGAGACGTGTGATCGTAGCTCCGGTCCTGTCTGTTACGGCTGCACACAAGGCCACATTGGGTGTGTGCGCGTACGTGGATATGCGTGTTGCATCGCACACAGACCCAAGTCCAAGGGAACAGTCAGTGAACACATGCCAAGTTGCTGCATTCCAATGGAGGAGGAACAGGCATCTCTGAATTTGTTAACACACAGAGGTGGAAAACCTCTCTCTGCCTCTTCTGTCTTGGCTTCACTTGCACGTAAAGTGCAACCTCCAGAAACATCAGAATTATACAGAATTAAAATAAAGCAACACTTTGAGCTCTTTTTCTTCTTCTTTTTTTTTTTTTTAAAAGAGTACATTCGAAAGCAGTGAAGTTTACATGCCAACCGTGGATTTCCTGAAGCTGGAACATAACTCCCCCTAGTGGGGAAAAAGGGCCCCTGCACAGACAGGAGAAATGATGACATTCTGCCCAATGCTGTCCAATAGAAAGACAACGGGAGCCACATTTGCCATTTTAAAGTTTCTAATAGCTACAAAGAAAAAAAGGTGAAATTTTATATTTTATTTCTCCCAATATATCCAAAATATTATCCAATATTAAACAATGAGCCATTTTACATGCTCCTTTTCTTACTAATTCTTCATAATCCAATGTACATGGCATCCTTACAGTACATTTTAATTCGGACTGGCCACATTCTAAGGGCTCATCAGCTGCACGTGGCTGATGGCTGTGGTATTGGACAACATAGTCCCAGACCAAAAATCCTCCCTCGTATTTTGGAGAATTCCTACAAATCACCTTTGCCTGGTTCCTTGACACAAACAAACGCTGTCAGTTTTAAATCGTAACTTAAGTCCATTCGTGTCCACTTTGGAAGTCACTATTTTAAGTTAGCTGAAGATTTGCGACTGCAGGATTCAGTTGATACGGTGGAGTAGAAGTTGAGAACCTGCAGCGGGAGGTCTTGCCATCAACAGCAACGGCCTCAGCCCTTCTCTGATTCTACCTTCTCAGCGATCCCTGACCCGCACCCCCATTTTGGGCAGGACTGGAGTTTTCACCATAACTCAAGTACAGTCAAGCAAGGGGCTGCTACAAAACAGAAAGCAGCCTTCCGTGCCTGGGAATTCTCTCTACACAGGACTATCATGGCAGGCCCAGCTCTTCCTTCTAGGGCCCTGATTCCATTTCCCCAAACTCAGTGCTCCACAAAACTGGGGCATAGCAATGAAGCCATTTCTGCTGCTGAACCCCATGACTACATCAGCTATCGCTTCCTCCCTCCAACAGAAGGATCCATCAAAGCTCCTTCCTACCTACCATACACGGGGATTTGCATTTTAATCACTGCCAATGAGCTGTGATGATAAATCATTTACTTACAGCCTCTAACCTACCCCTGCGGTTTCACCCTCAACATTTTGGTGGGAAATTAATTCTGGGGTGGGGGTAATTAGAGGGCAATAATCAGGACGAGAGGGGAACACACACACACACACACTCTAGAGTGATACAAGCCACCGTTAAGGAGCTGCACACCCAGTCATGGTGCATGTGTCCTGGTATTTCTATGCATATGAAAAACTCCCGTCACCCCCCACTAATTCTTTATTTCTCTAGGAAGCCATGGGTACAGCCGACTGTGGAACAAATGAGAATGGAAACATGGGGCAGAAAAGATGCGCTTCTAATGATAAGAGAAAATCTAATGGCAAGCAACTCCCAAATATTCATCTGCAGATTGTCCTATAGAAAAGGAGTGATAAGGTACTGGTTTTCCATGACATCCTTAAAGCATGGTGGGGGGCTCTTTGTGCCTCTCCCAGTTCCCACTCAGGGAATGAAAATGTGATTTAGAAATAACTCAACCAAAAGGAAATCAGATAACTGGGGTTATCAGTAACTGGGATGCAAGAAGATAAACTTCATAAATGGCCTTAGAACCTCCCAAATAGGGCAGCTCATCTGCTGCTCACCTGAGGAATTCCGGGTCTCCCAGGGCATTCCACCACGTGAGCACTTTGCATGGGCATCCAGCTCACCTGGTTCCAAGGGCAAGGACACCTGTTCAGGACCAGCAGCCTTTGTTTCCCCATCTTGCAGGGGCTTTCCAGAGTTAACAGCTATCTTGCAACCAAATTCCTTTAATCACAAAGTGGAAAAAATTAACTCCTAACAAACCCCACACCCTGTGAGAGGCTACTGTGCTGTATGAACACTATAAAAGGAAGAATTAATCTACAAATGAGCTGCTGTATCCTTTTCTCATAAACTGATATTAGTAATAGTGAAGGGCACAGGTTTGTACAGGAACAAACAAAAGGTAGAAAGTGAATGTGTTCAACTATACTAGTTGCAGCACACCTTAAGAACACCTACTATATAAAAACAAAGACATAGGAGGTGGAAATTCAAATGAATACTTTGCACCATAAAAACCAAAGGCTCAGCCCAGGCGGGCTTGGTGGCTCACGCCTGTAATCCTAGCACTCTCTGGGAGGCCGAGGCCAGCAGATCGCTCAAGGTCAGGAGTTCAAAACCAGCCTGAGCAATAAATAGAAAGAAATTAATTGGCCAACTAATATATACAGAAAAAAAAATTAGCCGGGCATGGTGGTGCATGCCTGTAGTCCCAGCTACTCGGGAGACCAAGACAGAAGGATTGCTTAACCCCAGGAGACTGAGATTGTTGTGAGCTAGGCTGACGCCATGGCACTCTAGCAGCCGGGCAACAGAGTGAGACTCTGTATCAAAAAAAAAAAAAAAAAAAAACCAAAGGCTCTTTAAACATGAGGGCTTCCCTGGTGTTCTGGAGTCTATTTAAAGAAATGTTAAGTACAGATCAGTGAAGATTAAAGAAATGAAAATAAAGCATTTGTGAAATGAAAAGCCAAATCAATGGAAAGCACAATTCCATTTAAAAAGTGTCACTAAAATGCAACTTTTCAGGAAGATAGATGCCTCATAAAGGAAGGTGTGCCTGGCTTTATAAAGTCAGAAGGATCTAGGGTGGCATGATCATTAAATAATCTTCACAGAAAACAAAAAGATGGCAGAATTCATAAATAAATCCAAGAACTTGAAAAAGAATAAGCCTATTAAATAGACAAATCTTTGCTAAATTTCTTAAGACAGGAGGAATGAGACACATACAAGATTCAAAACATTATAAGAATATGATACACAATTGTATGTTAATACATTTGAAAATGTCAATGAAATGGAAAAACAAATTGCTCAAACTGACTTAAGGAAAAAAACCTAAATATATCATAACACTGAAAGATACTGAAAAGTTTTCATTGAATCTACTCCCAGGAGACTTCATGCCTAGACAAACTTAGAAGTGAATATCGAACTTTGACACAGACATTTCATATATACTAAAACAGTTCCATAATATCTGGAACTGGAAAAAAATGGAAATCTGGAACACTGGAAAACCGAAAAAAATGGAATCTTCCTCATTTGTTTTATAAAGCTAACAGAATGCCATTATTGAAATCTGATGATGAAACAAAAAAAGTTAACAGGCCAATCACTCTCACTTAGAAATCAATATATTTTTTTAAAACTTAGGGAAAAAAGCAGTATATTTATTAAATAAAAGTAATATGGTCACAGTAGGTTTGTCATAGGAATCCATATGGATTGCTACTAGAAAATTGATGACTTTAAAATATATCAATAGGTCAAAAAAAGAATAAGTACTTTAAAAACAGATAATATTCAACACTATTGCCAATTTAAAAGGGCTAGGTTTCCTTAACATGACTTTAAAAAATAAATGAACAAATCTTGTTCAACTTTTCACTAATG